GACTTGCTGTATATGTTTTGTGGATCAATTTAACATATATCGCAATAATGTTCACATGTATACTAAAGGTTTGTTTTACTTGCAGAGGAGAAACTGACGACAAAAGAGATGACAACTATCCCTGATATGCAATACAAATTGAACACTTTTACATTATTGATGAAGAAATTCTGCTATTTCCACTAATACATTGAGTTCTTTTTTGTGTATCGTGTTAAACTCTACAGTTTTTAACGATTAATATTTGTTTTTTGTTCTGAGCGTTTTTGCAACTTCTAAAAGTGTAAAATCACAGTAATCATAATTAGTGTGTGTTCTCATAAGATTACCTTTCTTCGAACTGATTAGTTTATTCTTTTTTTAGTTTTGAAGCATTCATTATATTTACGGCATCAGAGTTGCATAGGTAGCATAAGTAATTTTGGAGTCAATTCTCAAACCATGGTTTTTTCACACCCATGCAACCTGAAAATATCAAATATTCAAATCGTTATAATTCCTAATAATTTATTAAGCCCAGTCCGAAAGAGCTTGTAATTTAGGGTCTGGAACTCTATCAACTTCAGTTCAATGAAATTTATTGCATAAACAATGTAATAAACGAGTGCATTTGAAGATTTTATCTTGATTAATCTACATTAAGGGGTTTTACTGGGGGGGGGGGTGATTTTTCCTTTTTCTCTATTGAGCAGTTTAGTTTAAAATTAGTAAATAAACAAATACCTAGTAGGTACCAGTAGTATTTTTTGGCAAAATATGCCCCCTCCTCTTCTGGTATTTTTGTATATTGGAATATGTATTCAACTGACGTTTTGTGATAGTCCCTGCACATTTGGGTAGACCATGGTACAATAAAAAGAATATGCACATTGATGACTAATATAATTTTGGAGAACAAGTGTCGTCATAATCTGAGACTTTAATATTGATTCTAGTGAAAAATATCATTTTTTTTTTATGAAAACTGTGGATAACATCAGTTAGTTGATCAATCTACTCATAGTCTAGCAGGAATATTTGTCCTTATTTTCATATATCCAGTTTATTTCACAGTTGAGTTTTATTGATGGCTTTCACTGAATTTGAATTTAAACAGACTTGAATGTAAATGTATTTTCTGTACTT